GGCTGCTGTGGTCTCCCCAGAACCTGAGACCCCGGCTCCATCGAGGACCCTTCCTGGCTCCGCTGCGACTCCCATTCCTCGTGCTGCCGCCTTGAACTGCTCGGCGCAGGGAGCTGGGGCAGCAGCGGGCTCACCTGTTGGTTTCCTGCCCTTTGGCGGCCCCTGGCATCTGCTGCCCGGTGTCCAGTACGAAGCCCCCGGAAGCACGGAACTTCCTGGTCTCTGTTTTTTTCATCTTAGCCACAGCAGGGGTCGACACGAAAGTCGGGGAAAACACAGACAAGCAAGTGTGAAGGGGAGTGCCACACACAGCCCCTGGCACGGTCCATGGCGCAGCCCACAGCCTGCCTCGAACACCCATCCTTGCTTGAAAAGGCAAAGCCCCAGCTCGCTGGTGGTAGCCCACACCACCCCACTTCCCACGGCTGAGGGGAGAGGGAATGGGAGGCGGCCACCCTCTGCGCCCAAGGCTTAGCAGACAGGAGGGGGCTCCCCGCGGACCACCTGCTCTGGCTCACCCTGAGCCCCGTGACCACTGCCGCGAGGGTGCCAGCAATCTCGGTTCCCGCCCACCCCCACGGGAGGGAGCGGGCGCTGCCAGCAGCTCCCTGGCTCACTTGGGTGCGGGGATCAGACACGTGCTGCTAGCAAGCAATCCGTTTAGTCCCATCATAACCACTTAGCGATCTGCTCTCTCTCCACCGCCTGCTCTGAGGCCCTGGAGGTGCCGATCTGAATAATTGATTTGAGCAGGAGGCCGCGAGCCTGTGAATCTCATTAATTACCTGGCAGGGAGGAGGGAAGAGCCTCTTGTTGGCCACGCCTCTGCACGCACGCGCACACCAACCCTACCAGGCGCCCGCTCAGTCCCTCAGCGAGCCCGGGGTGGCAGGGTGCTTCTAGAACATTCTGAGCTGCTGCTGCGTGCCAGCAGACACCCCCCCCCCTTCCCTGACTCCCCCCCCATCCTGATTCCCCTGGGCCCTCACAGGGCAGCCGCCTTTGGGGTCAGGGTTTCCCCAAAGGCCGTTTTGTGAGGCGGGGGCTGCTGGGACAGGACAGGGGTCCTCACGAGAAGAGGGGGCGGAGACGCAGGCACACAAGGGGGGGCGACCTGGGAGGGCATGGGGGAGGGGCGGGGCCTGGGCAGCAGCCGGCCCCGCCTCACCTGGCTCTGGGACTGAGGCTGGAAGCCTGGGTGAGTGACCTGCTGTTGGTGGCCCCGCCTACAGCGGGGTCACAGACGCTCAGCTCCGTCCTGGGCGCAGGGGTAGGGGGTGGCTCCTGCCGTGGGCGTGTATCTGACCAAGCCAAGCCGGCCTTGTGGACTAAGTGCCTAAGACCAAGGCCCAGTCAGGAGGCAGGCCGCCAGGGTGGACCCAGTGTAACCGGCAGGAGAGAGGCCGGGCCGGCTGTGCGCTGCTGGCCACCCTTGCCAGGGTGTGTTCACCAAGGGCAGTGAGGCTGGGCAGTGGCGGGGGCAGGACGCTAGTCCTTTCTGGGATGGAGTCCACTGGGTCAGAGGTCCAGCAAGTGGGGTCTGGGGTCAGGCCCTTGGGGGCTGGGGACTCCACGGAGGTGAGCACTGGGGGAGGAGCCCTCAGCCCGGCCGAGTCCCAGCTTCCTGTTAGCACAGCCCCACGCAGGAAGCATCGGGAGAGCCCACACAGGCAGGAAAGAAAACCCGGTGCTAAGCTTCCTCCCTGCTCTCCGGGATCTCCGAGGCCCTGTGCAGGGAGCCCTCCCTTTAATGCCCTAGAAAATGCTGGAACAAGTGGAAGAACCCAGGGAGCAGCTGTCTGGAGGCGGCTGGCCGCCCAGGGCTCCGTGGGGCAGGCACTGCTCACTCTGGGGGAGCCCAGCTGGGAGGCGGGGCCTGGACGTCCCCACATTGGTCATCACCCATCTACCCGGCCGGGGGCCAGCCGCCCACCCCATCCTGGCCATCGGTGGATTGCTCTTTATGGTACACGGGGAGAGGAATGGGCCAGGTGGGCCAGGAGTGGTTCACCTGGGAGGAATCAGGTTCTGGTGGGCATGAAGTACCCCAGCTGCTTACGGGGTGCCTGGGAAGCCTGGCCTCGCGCCCAGCGAGCGCAGCTCTGGAGGGCTAGGGCCCGGAGCCTGCGTCCTGGTGTTGGCTCACCTCCCCTGAAGACGTGTGTGGCTGTGCACCTGCCCTTCCTCCACCTGCGGCCACTTGGCATGTGGGCGCCATTCCCCGTACTGCACAGAACCAGAGCAGAACCGGAAGAAGCACCTGATTTCAGCTCTGGCTGTCGCGGCCATTTGGGAAGCAAACCAGCAGATGGAAGACCTCTCTCTCTCTCTGCTGCTGCATCTCTGTAATGCTTCCTTTCAAATAAATAAATCTTCGAAGGAAAAAAAAAAAGGAAGGGGAGGGAGAGAGTGATGTGGCGGGGGAGGGGAGGAGAGAGAGGGAGGCAGAGGTGGAGGGAGGGAGATCAGGGACAGAGACACACAGAGATTGAGAGACAGAGACAGAGGGAGGGAGGGACTCAGTCGGCCACCCAGCCCCCCTGTGAATGCTGTGTCCGGCTGCACCTCTTACTTATTAAACTCCAGCTGCTCACTGGGCCTGGTCAGCCGTGGCGTCCAGCTGTTTGCTGACCTATAAAAATGGCAGCTTCAGAGGGCTACACAGTGTGGCACAGGGACTTGTGTGGCTCGTATCGCCGAGTCCCCTGGGGCGGGGGCGGGGGTCGCCCCTTTGAAGCCCTTCCCTCTTTTAGATCCCAGGGGCTCCCAGGGGGCCCAGATCATTCCTGCCCTGAGTGATTAATTTTCTAAAAATTGCGATTGTGTTTCTAAGTCCTCAGGGTGGAGCTTCAGGTCGCCGCACCTCCCCTGGGCACCTGCTGGGGGCCCTGGCACAGGGCAGCTGTTGTGCTGGGGGCCACAGCTGAGGGCACCCGCCCACCTTGGCCTGAGAGGGACCCCTGAGCCTGTGTCGCAGGCGGGGCTGGCTCCATACCTGCTCTGCTGGAAGCTGCCACCGCCTCCACAGGGGGTGAGATGGTGGGGCGTGAGGGCCACCCCCACCTCGATCACGTTGCCTGGGCCAGTCCTGCCCTGGGGAGCACTGGGCAGATGGAGGATGTGGGTGTCCCAGAGTGGGGGGAGCGGGGGTGCCTTGGCCCAAGCCCCACCCTCTAAGGATGCATTGCCCTCACTCCAAGCCTCACACCCTCCAAGGCCTCATGGGCAGCAGTCCAGGGACACGCAACTGAGGAGTGGACGAATTCGCGATCTCCGCACCTGTGCTGGCGCCCACGAGGGTGCGTGTTCCTGCTGGAATAGTTAGGACAGTGGAGACAGCAGGGCCTGGCGTGGCTTCCCCTGACTGGAGGTGACCGTGTCCACCGCAGCGTCTGGGCTGGGCTCTGGCCCGCACGGGTGACCTCAGGCTCAACACTGCTTCCACAGAGGCTGCCGCGTGCCGAGGGCGGGGTGGCGAGTACCAGGTGAGAACTTCTTGGTCTTCAGGTGAGAGGCTGGTGACGTCCCATGACCCACAGCCCAAAGTAGGGGCAGCCCCCGCCTCCCAGAGCAGCCCCCAAGCCCAGGGGCCTCTGCCCAGCCCGGGAGAAGGGGCCTGGTGGCCGGCTCTGCTTCCTGGATCTGATCGTGTTTCTTGGAAACAAGGTTGTTGCTTCCCAGTACAAAGTCTAGATTTTGGGGATACCCGGGCCTATGACACCCCCACATGCCCCTCTCCAGCAAGGGCCAAGGGAACCCGCGTGGAGATGGGGGAGGGGCTGGCAGTGCAGGAGGAAGGACAGTGGGGAGCGGGATGTGAGCTGAGGGCCCGGGTCACCGCGGGAGCGGTCAGGGTGGAATCTGTGCCCTTGAAAAAGGGACCCAGAGAGCTGTGGCCACCTCCCGTCCACCCTGCGCGGACACGGCGGGGAGCTGCACACCTCGGCCTCAGCAGCGCCGGCTTCCAGTGCAGCCCGAGCTGAGATGGGCGGGAAGAGGAGAGACGAGGGGCTGGGGAGGGCACTGGGCCCCCACAACTCTGCAGGCCTGGCTTCACACAACACAGGACCGGGCGATGCCAGCGTCACAGGGACACGTGGACTGCAGCCACAAGGAGGCCCCGCCCACACGCACCTGTGATGTGTCGGGTGCAGAGCACTCCCAGCGAGGGACTGGGAACAGTGCAGCCGCTGTGGGCAAAAGGGTGACCGCGCCTTTTTGTCACCTGCGTCTGCACAGCCCCAGCCCTCCCTCTCCTAGGCATTCACTGGGGGGAGGCAGGCAACAGCCCCACCACCATGACTGCGCAAGCCTTCACACAGGACTGTCCATGGCTGCAACCCAACGCCACCAGTGAGGGAAGGCTAACTGAGCCCTGGTCCCCCCAGGCCCCAGAGGCAGCCGGCAGTGCATGGACGAGCCAGGGATGCAGGGAGACCCCAGGCGACCCCACTCAGGGAGGATACAAGGCTCCAGACGAAGTGCACCACACAAGATGCTGCTGTGTGCACACGTGTGTACCTGTCTCTGTAGGCGTGTGTACACACATGTGCATAGGCATGTGCACACCTGTGTCTATGTGTAGGCACGTGTACACATGTATGTGCATGGACATGTGTACATGTCTATGTAGGCATGTGTGCACGTGTGTGTCTGTAGGCATGCATGTACACGTGTGTGTGTAGGCCTGTGTGCACATGTGTGCCTGTGTCTGTGTAGGTGTGTGCATACATGATTAGGCATATGCACACCTGTGCATGCATATAGGCATGTGCACACATGTGTATGTGTAGGCATGTGTGTACATGTGTGTCTGCATCTGTGTAGGTGTGCGTGCACACGTGTTCACGTGTAGGCATGTGTGTATGTGTGTAGGCCTGTATGCACATGTGTGCATGTCTGTGTAGGCATGTGTGCACACATGTGTACATACCTGTATAGGCATGTGTGCACATGTGCATGTGTCTAGGTGAGTGTGCATGTGTGTACATGCCTGTGTAGGCATTTGTGCATGCGTGTATGACTGTGTAGGCATGGTACACATGTGTGTGTCTGTGTTGGCCGGTGTGCATGTGTGTATGTGTCTGTAGGTATGTGTGTACGTGTGTGTATGTGTCTGTAGGTATGTGTGTACATGTGTGTATGTGTCTGTGTTGGCCGGTGTGCATGTGTGTATGTGTCTGTAGGTATGTGTGTACCTGTGTGTATGTGTCTGTAGGTATGTGTGTACATGTGTGTATGTGTCTGTGTTGGCCGGTGTGCATGTGTGTATGTGTCTGTAGGTATGTGTGTACGTGTGTGTATGTGTCTGTAGGTATGTGTGTACATGTGTGTATGTGTCTGTGTTGGCCGGTGTGCATGTGTGTATGTGTCTGTAGGTATGTGTGTACCTGTGTGTATGTGTCTGTAGGTATGTGTGTACATGTGTGTATGTGTCTGTGTTGGCCGGTGTGCATGTGTGTATGGTCTGTAGGTATGTGTGTACGTGTGTGTATGTGTCTGTAGGTATGTGTGTACATGTGTGTATGTGTCTGTGTTGGCCGGTGTGCATGTGTGTATGTGTCTGTAGGTATGTGTGTACCTGTGTGTATGTGTCTGTAGGTATGTGTGTACATGTGTGTATGTGTCTGTGTTGGCCGGTGTGCATGTGTGTATGTGTCTGTAGGTATGTGTGTACGTGTGTGTATGTGTCTGTAGGTATGTGTGTACATGTGTGTATGTGTCTGTGTTGGCCGGTGTGCATGTGTGTATGTGTCTGTAGGTATGTGTGTACGTGTGTGTGTGTCTGTAGGTATGTGTGTACGTGTGTGTGTGTGTCTGTAGGTATGTGTGTACGTGTGTGTGTGTGTCTGTAGGTATGTGTGTACGTGTCTGTGTACGTGTGGTGCACACGTGCACATGCCAATGGGGCAGGGTCATTGTCACGACAGAATACAAGTCACTGTCTGTCATCCAGATGTGATGGTGACCTCCAGGCAGCCCCCCGCCCCCGGCCAGATCAGGTTTCCAGTTCAGGGAGGCAGGACCCAGGCCCGCGTCTGCCCCTCAGCAGCCCCCAGCTGCTTCCGGGGCACGGGGGGCACTGGGCCACTGACCCGTGCTCTGGGCCCCAACCCAGCCCCACGCTCCGGGACGTGGCCAAGTGCTCCTCCCGGGGGAGGGCGGGACACGGTCCCCAGCGGCCCGGCAGTGCCTGGGTGGCACCACAGCGCCAGCGCCGCGCCCTGCCTCAGTCTGAGCACTCAGGGAGCCCACTGCCCTCCCGCCAGGGCCGAGGGGCAGCCGAGCCCCTGTGTGTGTGGCGGGAGAACGGGGCAGCCCCCTCCTATCTGTGGCCTCAGGACTCACTGCACTGGCAGTGGCCCCTGCCCAAACCTTCTCAGGCTCTGCCTCAGTTTACCAGGGCTCATTCATCACCAGCTGAGCCACGAGAGATGGCCGAGGTCCGCCCCGATCAGCCTGGGTGTGTCTGCGGCCTTTCTCCGGGGTACTGCTGTCTACCCCAGGCTGCCCCAGCCTCTGAAGAACCCTTTTGGTGCATAGTGGGTGTGGATGGCCACTCCCAGACTCTACTGAGATTAAACTGCCACTGGGTACATGTCATGGTGCAGATTAATAGCGCCTAGTCCTAGACCCGGCTGCTTCATTTTCGATCCTGCTCCCTGCTAATGTGCCTGGGACAGCATCCGAAGACGGCCTAAGCGCTTGGGCACCTGCACCCATGTGGGAGACCTGGATGGCACTCTTGACTACTATGGCCATCTAGGGAGTGAACCAGCAGAATGAAGATGTCTCTATCGCTCTGCTTTTCAAACGATTAAATCTTTTTTTTTTTTTTTTTTTTTGACAGGCAGAGTGGACAGTGAGAGAGAGAGACAGAGAGAAAGGTCTTCCTTTGCCGCTGGTTCACCCTCCAATGGCTGCCGCGGTTGGCGTACTGCGGCTGGCGCACCGCGCTGATCCGATGCCAGGAGCCAGGTGCTTCTCCTGGTCTCCCATGGGGTGCAGGGCCCAAGCACCTGGGCCATCCTCCACTGCACTCCCGGGCCACAGCAGAGAGCTGGCCTGGAAGAGGGGCAACCGAGACAGAATCCGGCATCCCGACCAGGACTAGAACCCGGTGTGCCGGCGCTGCAAGGCGGAGGATTAGCCTAGTGAGCCGCGGCGCCGGCCTGAATAAATCTTAAAAAAAAAAAAAAAAAAAAAAAAAAAATATATATATATATATATATATATATATATATATATATATATAAAAACTAGGGCCTGGCGCCGTGGCTCACTTGGTTAATCCTCCACCTGCGGCACCGGCATCCCACATGGGCACTGGGTTCTAGTCCCGGCTGCCCCTCTTCCAGTCCAGCTCTCTGCTGTGGCCCAGGAGTGCAGTGGAGGATGGCCCAGGTGCTTGGGCCCTGCACCCGCATGGGAGACCAGGAAGAAGCACCTGGCTCCTGGCTTTGGATCGGCGCAGCGCCGGCCATAGCATCCATTTGGGGGGTGAACCAGCGGAAGGAAGACCTTTCTCTCTGTCTCTCTCACTGTCTGTAACTCTGTCAAATAAAAAAATGAAAGATAATAAAAATATATACATAAACTCTGACATCATGAAATTACTAAATGTGACATGAGAGGGGGGTGAGGTCTGGCGGCTTTGCTGACCCCCATGCTCTGATCGGGGCAGTGGTTAGCAGGGCCGACTGCAGTGCCTCTCTGTGTCTCTGTCCCTTCGTGCGCTGCCTCTGCCGTGGTGGGCGCCCACAAAGGCCTTCCTGAGATGCAGCCCCCGGATCTCAGGGTTCCTGGCTTCAGACCCGAGCGCCGAGTAAGGGAACCAGAGGAAACCAACACTACATCCACAGGGGGCCAATGTCGCCGGGGTCCCCTCCCACACTCCAGCAACAGAGTGGAGCAGGGTCCTGGAGCAGATCAGGCCAGCCCACCTGCTCCTGGTGCCGTGGCTTTTGACCCCATGCCCTGTGGTCCCCATTCACTCGCTCGCTGGCCCAGTCCACTCTGGGTCCACGCGTCTCTGTACGCACACGCTGGCCCCAGGGGCCTCTGGGGCAGAGGGCGTGGGTCTGGATCTCAGTGTGGTGTGGTGCACTGTGGGGGCGCGGGGGGACACAGGAGTTGGGGCAACGGAGTCGTCTCAGGCCTCAGTTTACATGTCTGTGAATTGGGACGGGGTAGAAGTATCCCCATTATGGTCACGAGGCGCAGCCGCTGCAAAGCCTTGTCCTGGCTCCTCCCCAAACCGCAGGGGTGGGCAGCCTCATAAAACGCTGACCCTGAACCTCCTGGCCAGCGAGTTCCCTCCCTGTCGCCTCCTTGTGCCGTGCACGGAGCCCAGAGACCACACTGCATGCAGACTCTGCCTGCCTGGCACAGACCAGCGCCTCGGCTTCCCCTTCTGCGGGCTCCGTGGAGCCCCCGGACAGGTCTGCACCACCCCACCCCGCCGCGAAGGGGGCAGGGCATGGAGCCTGTGGGTGCTCGTGACCGGACTGCCGTCCACTGTCCAGAGAGCAAGAGCCACTGGGCAGCGGCGGAGGGGCCCCCACCTCTGCACAGGTCCCCGGGAGCCTGTGAGACACACAGGTGCCTGAGAAGCTGCCGAGCAGAGGCCGCTGTGGGGCGCCCCCAGCCCCAGCCCCGTGTCACTGCAGAGCCTGCCTCGCCCCTCAGCGAGATGGGGACGCACACTGCCCAGCACCCCAAGAATGACTCACAGCCTCACGAGGACGCAACGGGAAGGGTGACCGGGAACCACGCACCAGCACCGAGTGGGACGCGGGCACTGTAGGTAGGCGGGGGCGGGACCCGGGAATGGGCCACCCTGCTGAGGGCGGGGCGCTGGCCTTGGTGAGTAGATCGGGAGGCTGCAGGGACCATACCTGCAGGCTGTAGGGGCTGGGCCTGGCTGGGACCCTCCCCCTGCCTCCAGCCTGGGTTTCCTCCATGGGAGGCTGCTCCTCTGACTGGAGCCAGGCAATGCGTGTGCGGTGCCTGGCCTGGGAGCAGCCCTGCCCTGCACACCCTGGCCCACTCCTCCCCTGCCCGAGAGGCACAGACGGGGATGGATGTGCCATCTGTGAGGGGGGAGAGCTGCCAGGTTCCCAGGTCAGGCCCCCTCCGTCTGAGCACACAGGGACAGAGGCCCAGGCTATGTCACCCCTGCACCGGCGGGTCTGAGACGGGGTGGGGTGGGACTGGGGGCCTCAGGTTCCTGGGTTGTAGTCTGAGACCCCAGGACCTCAGCTGTGGCTCTGTTTGGAGACAGGACCTTGAAAGAGGGGATTCAATGGAAGGCAAGTCGCTGGGGGGCCCTGACCCCATGGGAGAAGAGGAGATGATGACACAGGTACACCCAGGGGAGGAGACGGGGAGGAGGCGCCGCCAGCCCAGGAGAGAGGCCTGGGGAGCACCGGCTCTGCACGCCCAGCTCTGGGCCCGCAGCCGCCGGGACTGGGAAGGAGGAGCCGTCTCAGGGGCTCCGTGGCGCTGTGTTGAGTCTCCACTTCACAGAGAAGGAGCCGCTGCACCAGGGCACCTGCCCTGGTGGGACCTGCACAGGCGCACCTGCCCCCGGTGGGACCTGCACAGGCGCACCTGCCCCGGTGGGCCCTGCACCCCGGCCACGCCTGCAGCACACTTCAGACTCGGAGCTATGGCAGGCTGCGGGAGACTCGCTGCCCTGCCTCCCACGACACAGACGGGACGGGCAGTTACCCCTTTGCACTTCACCCCGGTGCGGGGCGGGGGGACAGATTCAGGAAGGGCACACTCCCTGCTCGCCGAGGAGGGTGAGGTCATCAGGACATCAGGAGAGGTCTCAAGTGGCCACGCCCTAGACAGTGCACACTCCCAGCCCAGACCAGGTCACTGCTCAGAACCGCCAGGTCGCCAGCGCGTCTCTGAGCGGGTGTGTGTGCGGGTACGGGGGGTGGGGGGGGGATGCAGCCAGAGGCCCTGAAGTGGTCTCAGGTACAACTTGCATTTTGCACAGCAGGTGGCTTGAGTGACAGGTCACTGCAGCATCCCACCTGCTCAGCCTCAGGACAAAGGAGCCACGGAAGTTTCTAGTCCGATTGGCGGAGGAGGACGGGACTGCTTCCCTTCTGTGCCCACGTGGCTGATCTGGGCTGGTTATTTGGTCTAGGGACCCTGGCCACGTCACCCCTGCACCCAGCAGGTCTGAGGAGGCAGGGCTGGACTGGGGGCCTCAAATTCATGTATCGGAATCTGGGGGATACAGGGGATCGGTGCTCCCCTGCAAGGTGCCCCAGCCTTTTCCTGGCCCCCACCCAGGTCAGGCAGCACCCCTGGCCAGGGCGGGGCCGGCGGAGCCGTCACGTCCACCCTCCCTCAGTCTCCAGCGGAGCACAGGTGACCAAGAATGTGCAACTCGGCAACCTCGGCTCTGCTGTGATCTTTTAACCAGGGGGCCCCGAGCTTCGGCGCTGCACTTTGCCAGAGCACCACGGGCCTGACTCAGCGTGGGCAGGAAAAGCCAATCGCTCGTGGGATCACTGCGAGATTCCCAACCGATTCCACAGTTCAGCGGGCGGGGCAGATGGCAGAGGGGGAGATCTGGGGCCTGTCTGCTCTGCTGTCCAG